GGGCAACACAGTGAGACTCTGTCTCAAAAAAAAGAAAACACGCACATAAAACTGAACTCATTTTTATGCATAAAAATGAAAAGGTCTGGCGGAAGCAAACCCATCCTGAAGCAGGGGTGACCTCTGCGGAGGAAGCCAAACTGGGGTCGGGGGAGAAGTAACCAGGGAAGACTGTTACTACTCATCTCTAGGGAACAGGGTTAAGAACACAGATTTTGGAGCCTGGGTTCAAATCCCGGCACCACCACTTACTAGTTGTGTGACCTTAAGTGAGTTACTTGATTTCCGTCTGCCTCAGTTTCCCCATCTGTAAAAGGGTGACATGGCCGTGCCTACTTCACAGGAGTGTTATGAGGATGAATTGAGCTAATGAATGTGAAGGCCTTAAAAGCTAGGAAAAGCCTCAGGAGGGCTGGCTGCTGTCACTGCCCTCTCACTGCTACAGTAATGGTGTATCGCTGGCGTCCGCAAAAATAAACATAAAAGGACAAATAAAGAGGAATAAATGAACAAGCCTCACAGGGTGCAGAGGTGTCTCCTGCTCGGATGGGGTATTCTCAGGGCGGGCAGACCCCCTCTCCACAGGGGCTCCCTTCTCCTCCCCTGGCCAGAGGGCCCTTCCTCCCTCAGGCACAGGGCCATCAGAATGGCACCGAGCGCCACCTCTCTGCGTCCGCAGCACTAAACAGCTCAGACCTCTGCAGTCACCGTGAGTGCTGTCCTTCCATCCTCCCAAGCCTGGCTGGGCCTGGGCCCCTGCTGGGGACCACGTATCATGCCTGCTCTTCAGGATGGAGAACGAGCAACACTCTCCCCGCTCTGGCGCAAAGCCAGGTACACAGACGTCCTCGCTGAGCACGCCCTGAGCCAAGGGTGCCACGCGAGTGGCTCTCCCTCACGGGCAGGGGCAGCAGTCAGGAGCACAGGTTGCACAGCCAGATGGGCCTGGGGACAAATGCCACCTGCATCCACTCCCTCATTTGCCCCTCCCTCCCAAACATCACTGAGGGCCTACTGTGTGCCAGGCACCTACTGTGTGTCAGGCACCATGCCAGGCCTGGGGTACAACAGTGAATAAGACAAAAACTCCTGCTGTCCTGGGGCTCACATTACAAAGGGGGCCACGTATCGGCCTGACACCTGACTGGGCCCCTCTCAACCTCCATTTCCTCATCTGTCAAGCAGGTGACAGTGTAGGGGGCTCGCGGTGGGTGGAGATCTGAACCCAGAAATGGGGTTTCTTCTGCCACGCGCCACTCCACAGGCACCTCCCCTCCATGTGGCCCAGCACGCCGGGCACAGCTACAGGACAGCAGCAACGAGAGGCTGCCCCTGCTACCTCCGGGCCGCGGAGGAGACCTGTGGCTGATGGCAGCGGGATATCTCAACACGGTGCAAGCAGGTGCCTCTGTCCTCACTGGGCGGGTGCTCGGCCCACAGTCGACATTTTTGCACATCACGGCATCCTCGGAACATGCACACAGTAGGCGGTCTGCACGTAGCAACTAGTCAGCAAAAGCTGCCAAGCAGAAGGGACGGGACAGAGGCCACATCTGCCCTTGGCCACCATGCTCCGCCTGTGGCTGAAGTGGGCGGGCCTCACCCCCACGTGGACACCTGTCCTTGGTCAACCCCCAAGTTCCCCACCCAGCCTTGACACAGGGGAGTCCGGCGCTGCCCTCATGGCTCAGGGGGGCCCAGAGAGCTCTGATTCCAGACCCAGGCTCCTGCCCCATCTACATGACCCACGTGATCCGCCCCCAGACACTCCGCTGTCTCTGGGCGCCGGCCTGAGCCACTCCCTCTGCCCTTCCCGTGGTCTGCTCCCAGCTGTGCACGCGGACAACCATCCCTGAGCTCCCAACCGCGTGCAGGCCCGAACTTGTCCTTCCGCACGCGGGCCACACGCTGTCACTCGGCTGTCTCTCCGCCAGACTGCGAGTTCCACGGGGCCAAGGGTTGGCATCTCCAGTTCCTAGCATACAGCAGGAGCTCAATGAATGCTGAATAAATGAATATACGAATGCAAGATACCATTGGATTTGCAACCTGGGGCTCTCCTGGCAGATGCATCAACCAGCTCCCCGCTCTAGCGGTGCCAGCCTACCTTCTGGGCACCCTGGGTCCCTGTCCACCCCGTATGGCACAGTCTTGAAGCCCAGCTGCAGGGCCAAACCCTGGCGGGAGCCTCCTCAGAACAGCTGTGCCCGCTCCAGGCTCCCTCTGTCCCGGCGCTGGCTGGGAGTCCATCACCGTGCTCCGTCCTCCGACCCCCCCCGTAGGAACGATGACATTTCCCGAGCACTCACTACACGTCAGGCCTTTTTCTCACCATTTTTGCCACACGTGAACTCTCCCAAGCTTCACAACAGCCCTAGAAGGGAGGTCCAATTACTGCTCCCATTGTACAGATGGAGAAACTGAGACAGAGAGGTCCCATGGCTGGTGACAGAGGGCACAGCCAAAATGCCGGGTCAGTGCCCGGCCGCACACAAGGGCTCCCTTCCTAGTGACGTTCACTGAATGAGAGGGGACGTAATGACATTCAGCTCCCTCCCACCGGAGTTGGGAGTCACTGGCATTTCTGTCCATGTCCCAAACCCACCACGTGGTCAGGAAAGCAGTCATAAGGGGAAAATAAGAAAAAAAATGGTAACGGTAAACGATACTGTTAATATTTCAGCCTTTCTGTGTGTCCCGCTCTGTGCTAAACACGGCACAGGTCACTCTTCCAGTCACCCAGGGAAGGGGCCTACCACTGTGTCTGTTTCACGGAGAGGAAAATCAAGGCCTGGGGGAGGCTGCCCAGGGTCACATGGCAGCTGAGGGGCAGAGCTGGCTGAATAGGAGTGACACTGCTCGCCATCCACCTCCCCCACCCCGGGGCGCGTCCCCCGAGGGCCGAGAGGCCATCTCATTCCTGCCGACTCAGGCTCCAAAAATCTCCAAAAATTGTCAGTTGTCAGACAAGGCACCGCTGGGGTGGGACGAGTCCTGCTCCCACCACCATGGGCTGCCAGCCAAGGTGGGAGAAAAGGCTCTGAGACCCCACCCAGAGAGCCCTGGAGCTACTGAGCAAACCTGGGGTCATGTTCCACCTCCGCCCCTTCCTCGTGTGTGACGCCTCAGTGTCGCCATCTGTAAAATGGGCTGATGTCTCTTCTTGGCGTTCACTGGGAATGCTCTAAGGACTGCTGTCCGTCCGTGCTTGGCGCAGGGCTTCAAAAACGAGTGGCCGCCGCTATCTCATGACCATTATTGTTGAAGAAGATGAGCACGCCTGTCTGAGTCAGGCCCGCTGCACGGGAAGCTGCTGGGGGAGCTGGCCTCGAGGGCTGGGCAGGGGGCATCACGGGAGCCCGAACAAAAGGCCTTCTCAGGGGACAGGCAGCGGCTCAGGCTGCTCCAGGCAGGAAATCGGCAGCCAGAGCCATCAGCTGCAACCCAAGCCACCAAAGGACTGCGCCAGGGAGGTTTTCTGGCCAGGAGGGCGGGCCGGCCACGGCAAGAGGGTCCCCTCCCAGGCCTAGGCAGTAGCGTTTATTGAGCGCCTACTATGTGCCAGGCACAGACGAAGAGCAACTGATCAGATCGAGACAACCCCAGATCACAGGCCGGTAAGCTCGGGGCAGGGAGCAATTATTCGTCACACCGAGGGACCCAGGAACCTCCAGGCTTAGACTGCAGAGGACAAGCAGCAAGGGTCTTCGGGACACTTCCATCCCAGCCACCAGAGGATGAACCACCTTCTGCCCAGAGGGGCCTTGACCTCCCGCCACCTGCTCAGCCTGGGCTCTGGGGCAGGATGTTCCCAGCTACAGGGGTCTCCAGCATTCCCTCAAATCCCACAGCCAGGCAAGGGACAGGGACGTTGTGGAGCAGGAAGATCTCAGCCTGGTGCATCCCGGCACCCCCGCCCCCAAGTCCCCACGGCAAACACACGGAGGGAACCAGCTCCACGCTTACCAGCTGGCGGTGGGTGTGGGAAGGCAACTCGGGACCCCGCGTTCAGAACCCGACCGTGTTGGCCAGGGTGCTGCCGAGGCGACCTGGCGAGGGCCTCGGAGCAGCGGCTGTGCCTGGCGCTCCCCTATTCAAGCACATCCGTCCTGAGGGACCCCCAGCCTCTTCCCAGCCAGTGAGAACT